CACATTGCCTGTACCCCCCAAAAGAATTAGGTGGATAAGGAGAAAGATAGATTAGGGGATTAGATGTTCTTTGTAAAAAGGAAAATACAGCGACTTTGTGTTGCTTAATGTGTGTGTTTAGAGACAGCCTTAGGTCTCTTGGATGGCACTGTTCTGCTGCTCCCACTTTAATTGGCTGCTGGCCCCTCAGCCTCGCCTGAAAGGAGAGTCATTTAGGGACCTTTCACTCCCAGAGGATTGTCGCTTGCCGCTGCAGGAGAAATTGCATTCCTGTTTCCATACAATGGCTGGTCTGAGTTGGATGGTGCAAGAGTATCACTGTCATTATCATGACAATGGGAGCTAATTCCACTGCCACCAGCGCCATCCTGAAGCCCTCCGCAGCACCAGCTTATCAGGGGGCACCATGAGACCAGCAGGAAGCTACGCCCGTCGGAAAGATTTATACATACAGTACGCCACAGGCAAACACATTCGGGACTTTGTTTGGAGAGGCAGTCAATGGCATGAACCAACACATCAGCAAAAAAAGTAGTTTAACTCAGCAAATATCACTTAGTGACACACTGTGTCGAGAGACATTAATCTGTATTATTTGTTCATCTCTGAACCATTGACACCAATTAAGTCATTATTTTAAATAAAACAAAGTTAACGTCTAACATCCCAGTGATAATAATGATGATAATAACTTCATTTATTAAGCACTTTTCAAAACAGAGTCACTAAGTGCTTTACATGGATTAAAAAGACAGAGCATGCGGTCAAAATTTGGCGACTCAAACGAAGTGGTGTTATCAATAGCTTTTAATAAAAAGGTGAGTTTTAAGAAGTGATTTAAAAAATGTCCCTGATTCTGCAAGCCTCGGATTCTCATTCTCAGATTCTTCCAGAGCTGCGGGGATCTTATGGAGAAAGCTCTGTCGCCCTTTTTTTTTTGCCATCAGAGCCCTACCCGAGGATCTGAGACTGAGCACAGGCTCATAAGGGCACAACAAGTCATTGAGGTAATCAGTGATCTATCAGTCATAAATAATGCATGTTGTGCAGCCACACATTGTTCAAACTAACTATTTAAGTTCTTGACCTAGATTTCAAAGTTTTCAAAGAGAGCATTGATAAAAGTGTCAACGTTTGTTCAATATGAAGCTGGACCCATAAGGCGGGTACTTTAGCTTTTACATAAAGAAAGGGGTCAGTAAAGTATCAGCTGCCTGTTTCCTCTGCTATCAGTTTGGCTAAGCTAATAACTGCTGCCGATTGTTTCAACATGACCGCGTTGGAATTATTTCTTGAAGCTGACAGTGTAGAGCCTGTTTTGATCAACTCCTAAACAGACCTGACCCTCCTGTGATGGAGCATCAGGCTGTGAGTACAGTGTGAGCCAGGTGCATGTGACATGGGAAGGTTTCCCTGTATGCATTATGTAGAAGCACTGTAGTGCGCATTACGCTTGCAGAGGGTACATTTAATGTGTTGAGTAAAGTGGAAACTCAGTCGAGCTGAAAGACAATTAGGTTGTTGGTTTGCTCCTCTTGCTCCCAGCTGTTTAACCCTCATCCCTGTTTTGTTCATTTGCACCATTTCACTGCAGCTCTGCACACTGCTCTGACCCCATTATCTGCAGCTTTTATCCCTCCCCTCACTCCGGGTGTATTATCATCTCCCATCAACCAGGATCTTTCTCTGTTCACTGAGAAGCCTGAGCGGTGTTGGACCTCGGAGGCGCCATTAAACACTCACTGACCTGATCCACATTTAAACCACAAACAAACAAACACATGCACAAAAAGCAAAAACACTTACTCCCCTACCTGAGTAAATTCCTGTGGTGTGTAATGGTACCACATTTGTTTTGTAAGCTGCTCGTATCAGGTTTGAATCCCTGCTGGAATTTGTCTGGTTTTACTTTACACATACTACATTTAACAAACTGTAAAACAAATATACTCACAGACTTAACACAAGACTTAATGTCTTTAATGTATAGCATTATATGTCACTTTTTATTCTCTTTAGGATTTGAACTTTGTCTTTTTCAATTCTTTCTCATACTTTGGAAGATGTATTTAGATCATCCTTGATGCACAACTGGATTGCTAAAATCAAATGTAGGCTACTGTTCAGACTCAGTTAAGCAGATCAAGAAACAATTGCTGCCAAGCCATTTATTATATGGTACGGTAAACAATTTAACCAATTGACTATGTATCTCTGACAGTTAATATCCTTTTTTTGTTTATTTAAAGTGGACCTATCATGCTATATTTGAATAATATATTGTAGGGCGATACCTATATAAAACATGTCTGCAAAGTTTTTTTTTCAAAATACCAAACAGATCATGCATTTTAGCCATGCCTCATTTGCTCTTCTTTAGCCCTGTTTTTGCAAGGGCTGAATCTGTGAGAAGTCTTCTTCGCTGCTTTTGTGGCAGACTACAGCGCCACCTACAGGCCAGGCATAAGCACTACAGCGTCTCCAGCGCTTTCGAATGGCAATGGCCGTGGCTGTCTCCTCCTGATAGGTGGAGAGTTGCCCATGTAGGCGGAGCTCCTCGTTTCATCAGAGATATTTCAAATCTGTATCAGTCTGTATCAGATCCGTTGCAGCCACGTTTTTAGAAATTTGGGAATGGAGGAAAAGAGAGGGTTGTGTTTTCTGACACTTGGTGAGTTCCCTGACACACCGGGGACACATATTCATGTATAAAAGACATACAAAAGTGCATTTTGCATGATAGGTCCCCTTTAATTCATATTTCACTGATATTTCTACTCATTACTCCTCTCTTCTGGAGTCAGGGACGTGTGGCCTCTGTTTTCTGTGTGTTATTCAAACAGAGGTTGTGTGAATTACATTACATGTCATTTGTTAGACGCTTTGATCCCCACAGGAGCAATTTGGGGTGAAGTGCCCCCAGGGACACAACGACATGCTGACTGCAGTGGGATTCAAACTGGCTACCCCCTTATTCCAAGTCCAGCACACAACCCACTGAGCCACAGCCACCCAATGTTGCCTCCATTCAGGTTCAGATTTATCCTGTAACTGAAATCCTCATTCCTCAAAATATTGGATACTTAACAGTATTTTCATGATGTTTTTCTCAAATATGAAATTGGGGATATTGGATAGCAAGTCTTTCAAAAGATAGTTAAATCTTGATATGGGCATTACTGTAACAGCAACGTTCGCTGTCCAAGGTGCTGAATCGTTCCCGTCAGCAAACATTTTCCTTTCTAGGTTTTTCATGATCATCGAGACCAGGATGTCATTTTGTAAGCTCAGCCATAGTTTATCTTTCTGGGATCATTGAATCTCTGAATACAAGAAACCACTGCCTCACAGGATGTTCTGTAATTATTGGCACAGCTGCAGTCAGGAAATAATTACAAATACCTTGTGTGTCGTTTCTCATATCAAACATGAAATCCCACTTTGCTGTCAAATTATTATTATTCAATTGTTGGGGATCAGAAAAAGAAGGTCACTTTATAAATAAAGCTCTCCAACTTCAACTATATTGGTATGACAGATGGTACACTGTACTCTCCATACTAAAGCACATCTCCTTTTGTAACTGCATCATTATCTTTTTCTTGAATGCATTTCCTCCCTGCTTTTGCAAGGAATTATTATGATTATTTTAGGGAAAGAGGTGTCATTTCTGTGTGTCAGATCATTATGAAAGGAGCTGAAGCTCATCGCTATAGGAGAAGTTGTAGGATCACTAATATTGTTATATTTATTCCTACCCATTTGATTGTTGTTTTTCATTCAAAAGCTCATTCAACCGAGATGGTTCCTCTTTTGGGAGACGTGGCTCATGAATGTATGCAGAACATTTCTTTGCATTTAATAGCCAATGAGGCATTTTATTCCTGATTTAAGTGGTGGAAAATGGCTTAAAACATAAATATGTGTTATTAACTGTACATTTGAAAGTGTCTGCTCTGATAAACTCAACAGAAATCCTAGATTTAGAGAATGAAGGCATCATGGGGCTCTGTTGCTTTTATACTTATCCAGAATGTGAGGGCATTTGAGCTTAACACTAGAACCGCCAAAGGGTACATTTTACCCGCAGCTGTTTTTTGATTGTATGTAACTTGTTTTCAATAAAATATTCAAGTCTCCCAGTCCCTGACTTTACCTGAAAGTGTCTTATGTACTGTAGCACCCTCTGTTGTTAAAAATTGTCAATATGAAGTCAGATTGAAAAAATCGCCCAAAAAATTGCCATTTATAGGTAATATTTACCTTATAGAAAATGCAGTGATTTCCGTGCTATTGTTGTCGCGCGAAAACATAAACATGACGTGTTGTTATAGCAACGCCTGTTGTTTACTGCAGTTCCTTATAGATAGAGACAGAGAGATAGATATATAGATATATCAATAAATAGTTAGTTATAGTTAGATCGATAGATAGAGAGACACTTTTAGCGATATTTTATACTTCATGCTATCTGCACACTAGATATCTGAGAGTCCACATATTGTATTGGTATAAGTTTCATCACTGTGCGATCAAAACTCACTATTAACCCTGTGTTCTAGTATGATAAATAAAAGAAAATTGTACCTTGAAGATCAATGCATTCTAATAGCGGGTACATTTTCCCCGTTGGCGGTTTTAGGTATACAGCGACCCCTGGCAGTTCTAGTGTTTTAATAATCGACTTCATTGCTTTAGTGTTTTTTTATTGCTGCTGTTATTTGCCCTTTGCTACAGTTTGACAAACGATGTGGTTTCAACGTGGCTCGACATCACAACTGTTAGAAGTCTGATCTTTTATTTCTCCTCATTCCTGCAAGCAACATTAAGAGACCTGCTACTTTCTTTCAAAATGCCGAACCAAATCGATTTTGGGGTCACATAGGGCCGGAAGATGAGGAAGATACAGCAGGCTTTTATATAAAAAGAATAAAACAAGGAATTTTAGACACATGATACAACCATTTAATAATAAGACATCTTGTATTACATGTAGAGTATATACAGCACATCTAAACTACATTGACAAACATTAGTGGCCTTGGTCCCAACCAACACCTAGTTTCACGTCCTCAAGAAATCCGGGTCACCTGCCATCGTCCCAGCGGCCAATGTGCTCTGCAGCTGTGAAATGCACACCAACAAAGAACATTTTTACAGAATTGTACAAAATGCACAGCACGAAAGAAAAAGGGGAGTTCAGTTTGTCCCATAAATCCTTCAATGCTACATGGCTGTGAGGAAACATGATATAAAAGACTACTCCTTTCAAATGGATATGGAAACACACACTCCCACCCACACACATGCACAGACGGTGCTCTAGAGAAACATAGCTTAGTGTTTGCCTCAGGCTGTGTGATATCCACTTATCATTTTATCACCAATTAGCAGAACACAGCAATGAAGGCTGGAAATGAGTCCGAGGGGGTGGAGGGCTCTGTGTGCTTATAATCAGCTGAATTTATGTATCTAACTTTTTGCTGCTTCAGTGAAATGTTATTTTTTTACGCATGACAAAACATATTCACATGTTTAGCTGCAGTTTGAAGATGCAATGTGTAATGCCTGGCCACCTATATCACAAATAATCACCAATAGTGACAGCATTTTACCTATACTTCTCCTGGGTCCATACAAAATGTACAGTCATCATATATATAAACTAAAACTGAATATGATATGCTAGTCCTGTTGTAAACTGAAACAAACTACTAAAAGTTGTTCTAGCATGCCATCTTGGCAATGTTGACCGCATTCAGAGCTGATCCCTCATTCAGCTGTGAGGGATCAATACAAGATTACACACCGACCACTTGCAAGACAACTCAAGTGGACAAAACTAAACATCTGCCACCGTCTCATTCCTTAGGATCAATGTAAGTGCTATGTGTGTGGCTAAACACTGCAGGCCTTTGTTGAGTTGACACATATTGATCGCTCAAAGGCTCTGGATGGTGAGCACTGAGTGCCATTGATTTGGACTGAGTGCCATGTTTAAATGTGTAGACAGGATCACACACATCTTCCATGTCGTATTTATGTCATTAATGGACACACTGGATTAACATGTTAGACGTCACTCGTCTGTGATTATCAGTGACAGATCGTTTTTATGGGCATAGTAAAGCACAGAAGGTGCTACCATCCAAACAAATACAAATTGCTGTACAGCTCCAAGTTATACTGTTTCCATTAAAAGCTTTTTTAAATAAATGCTTTATGTCAAAGACTTGCTTGTAGAATTGAAATGAGAACCCATCTGAATTATTCTAGACTTAAAGGGGACCTATCATGCAAAATGCACTTTTGGATGTCTTTTATACATAAAGATCTGTCCCCGGTGTGTCGGGGAACTCACGCAGCGTCAGAAAAAAAACCCTCTCTTTTTTCCTCCATACCCAAATCTCTAAAAATGGGGGTACAACGAGCGGATACAGATTTGCTGCCGATATTACGTAATTTCGGATGGTGGACCCAAAGAAAGTTGCTATCAGAAACAATGCCTGGCATGTTTTGGACGTAATCTCGTCTTTGTTTACATTAGCAAGCCGCGCTAACACTCAGAGCTAACCTGTACTGGAGAGCACATGTGTTTTAAAAAGCAGGAAATACAAAAAGGAACTCACCTTGTGATAAACCTGCAAGAGAAAAAGCATTTGAGTTCCATATTGNCCTCCGGTACACAGCACCGTAGTGTGGAGTTGCATTAGGTAACGTGAGATACGGCTGATACTTGCGCATTAGTTTCTGTTATGGATCAGTATCAACAGTCCTGCCAGTAACGTTACTATATTATCAATGCTACTTTAGTTATAGCCTGATATATGATAGCTAACTTCACAATGTTGTGATGTGACGTTAGCTAACATTCTGTAGCTAACGCCGGTCACTCACCAAGATAACTGCCCAGTTCTCCACTGGTTCTCCTCACACCACAGCTCAATTTCTCTCCGATGGCCGTTATTTCTTCTAATCCTTGGCTGCTCCTGGTCTCTTGGACGCCTAGCAGGCTCATAATTATAAGGTTGTGGTCCGTCATATGCATTCAAATATTCATGTTCAACTTTCTGTGTCTTCTGTGTCGAAACTAGCATTGGGATCCATGTTTATTAATACGTTACACCGGCCGCTCTCCCCCTTGTTTCCCCCATGTTACGCCACATGCGGGAGGTCACTTGCCGAGGCTTTTTTATGCGGAAGTGAACATTTCTTACAAAAACGACGCCAGATGTCACTGTAGTGTATATTTCTGTATATTTTTTTGAAAATCTAGTGTATTCTTCATTTTCCTACACATTTATTCACTGGTGTCTTTAACCTGGAAGTTGCTCTTTAAAGCTCCGTAATTTGGTTTTGTGCCCAACGAATGTCAAAAAAGATCAACATAACTTTGTGTGGTCATTTGTAGAAAAAATAACTTGAACTTTACACACTCAACATTTTGTATCTTCAGAAGGACTCTTACCGTGCAGGCAGATGTATCGGTTCTGTGTTTTACATCGCTGGTCGTTCCAGTTAAAGGCACTTGACGCCTGCAGCTCTACACAGTTTCCAAAGCTGGACAGAGAAAGACAAATATTGAGTGACTATGTTCTGAGATTTTTTTTCTGGCTTTTCTGAACTACTGAATACTAAAATGTTATTGTAAAGTTGAGGGGGGATCTTTCCAGATCACTTTTGTCTGATTGAATCTCTGATGAAGCAGAGGAACCACCCCAATAAGTTGTATTTTATACTACAGTTACTCACAAAACCAACAAACAGGTTCCGTCTAAGATATATAAATCACACTTTAATATTGTAATATAAACATGACACGTTTTGTAGATAATTATAAACACTAAGAATTACTTATAGACAGATAGATAGAGATACATAAAACGGAGTAAGGGAGGCAGAAAGAGAGAGACATCTAGTGGTCAGAGTGAAGGTTGTCAGTCAGCCAACATCTGCTTTTTCCTCATCGGTCCATGAATAAAAATGTAATTATTAAAAAATCTCAGTAGATAATGTAATTTGAACACATTAGAGACAAAAATACAGTATGTATCTCTCGCAGTAATATTTAGGTAATACATAATCTAGAACGAAAGGCATACTCATCTGTAGATTAAAAAAAAGGCTGAAGATCCGGTCAAAAAAGTAATGTTCTACCTTTTAAGATGATTTGTTTGTTTGTTTGTTGAGTTCCATTGCACCTATACTTTGCAGTAGTGACTGTTAGTAAATGTGTCTCTTACCCTTGGTTGTCCGGTTGCCCAAAGGCGAAGCTGCTGAATCTGGGGATCTCGCCTGTGTCCCAGCGAAATGAGTCTTTCAGAGGCTTATATGTCAAACCTGTGGAGTAAAAACATTGTTTTTTTGTCCGTGCATCATTTCCACAACCTCCACCTGGTAGTACATCTGGTCTAAACCACAGCTGAGTCTGCTAATCTGGTGTTGCTGCCAGGTGTGAGAAAATAGTATGACATTTTAACATGAATGGATGAGGGAATACTGTACCAATCCAGAAGTTTCTTGTCTCAAAGTCCGTGTTGGTGACCTCGTTGCTCGTCTCCAGCTGACTGATATAAAACGCCAGGATGTCCTGAACCTTCTGATTGTGGATCTGAGCAAGAATCCCCCCTCGTCCCTTGTGGTGTAAACAAGAGAAAAGGCCACAGTGAAAGCAGAATTAAAAGCCCTCGTATCTAGTTTTAGATGATGTATTATGGCGGTAGAGCTTGTCTCAACACACACCTGTCTCTCACCTGACAGTGACTCTTGGCTCCATAGTAGGTGTCAGCTTCTGAAGACACCGCGAAGCAATCACCGTCTATCATCGCGTCACAGCTGTGGAAGGGAAACTGCACTTTCTCTGTAGGGACACAAGCCAACAACATATGGTGAATGAACACTAATGATGCATACCATCAACAAAAAGGAACTTGTAGTCTCCTGTAAGCAATTACAGTTGATAATCTGGATGAATTGTTAAAGAATAACAGTTTCAGAATATGTTCAGAGAGATTAATAAACAAACAAATAAATAGTTTTGTTGCCTTTAGCTAAAATATATGAATTCTCAAAAATGCTTTGTAACACATTTGCAAAGGTGCTACCTACCTGATATAGCATACCTGACAGAGCCTTCTCCGTCGCTGCCCCCTCCCTCTGGAACTCACTCCCACAACCCATCAGAGACTGCACTGACCTCACCACCTTCAAAAAACTCACAAAAACTCACCTCTTCAATCTGGCTTTTAATGTGTGATTGTTTTTGTATTATTTGACTTTAACTTTAACTATATATTTATTTGTTGTTCCTTTCTTTTCTTTTCTCTTCACTATATCTGTAAAGCGTCTTTGAGCACCTGTAAAAGCGCTAACAAATTAAATCTATTATTATTATTATTATTATTATTACTTTAAATCTAAATTATTATTTTTGCCCCCTTTGAAAAGTTAATATGCTCATGTTTTCATCACATTTTCACAATGTCACAAACGTTTGCATCCCTTAAAGTGGACCTATCATGCTATATTTGAATAATATATTGTAGGGCCATACCTATATAAAACATGTCTGTGATTTTTTTTTCAAAATACCAAACAGATCATGCATTTTAGCCATGCCTCATTTCGCTCTATTTGCTCTATTCCAGCCCTGTTTTTGCAAGGGCTGATTCTGTGACATTGCATTAATGCAAATGAGCTGTTGCTGACCACGCCCCCCTGCAGGAGAGGGAGATCAGCTGCTGGGCTCTCAGAAGAGGGGGAGGAAAGGAGAGGCTCCGTCCTCCGTGTTTTATTCTTATATGATTATATAGAGTCGTTATTCATTTGTTTTAAAGCTCAATAAATAACAAAGAAGACCTTTGACCGGCACTTTTCAATTTTGTCCGGAAGATTTCAAC